ATTGATGCGGAACTGTTGCCAGGGTTCGCTGATGGACTGTTGGCTAGCACATGGCAGGTGGCACGTGGTACGACGCCTGGACTTGCCAACGAGCTACCGTTGCGGGACTTGATAATGCGTACGGCTGAGTTCATGGGCACTGTGGCAATGACGGGGTCCGTTGAACCGGAATGCGTCAACGTCCAGTCCGAGGGCACCATGCGGCCTCTTGCAATTGCACAGCCCGTGTCCGTGATGCCTTGCACGGTTGCTGGTGTCAGGTTTTCAATGTGGCCAAGGACCCGTGTCATGGGACTGCGTAACATCGTCAGGGCAGCTAGGATGCGCAGCCTGTGTTGTAGGCCCTGGTGCCCACGTGACCTGACAGCGACTCTGGCCGGTGCAATTGACAGCCTGCAACAGCGCGTGGTCGGTGCATATGACAATGGCACGTTGCTGACAGCCTATGCATGGACTGCGGTCAAGGAGGCGTCCCAGGCAATGGACAATCCCTACTGGCAGGACGTGTTCCAGCCCATCAATGAGGTGACCAAGCACCATGGCATCCTTGGAACACTGTCAGATTGCCAGGTCATTGACATGATCCCAGGCGAGGAGTCCAGCACACCTGACATGGAAGCACGCCAGCCTGTGACTTGGACGGAGGGCTTCATCGATTGCCTGTACACGCCTGCGTCCGTTGAAGCTGGCAGGATACGTCGTCTTGCGCACGGTGTCAGGCTCCTGGTGGAGGACGCACGAATGCTGGACCAGTTGCAGTTGATCTTGAACCATGCCATAGCTCACGTGGGCAGTGATCACAGTGACAGTGACGGGTGGCTGCTGTGCTGGTCTGGTTACGTGGTCAGGGTCTCATTCGAGCACGTCTCGGCCATTGTCTCGGCCTGGAGGTCACCTGATCTGCAGTCCTCGGACGTTCCCGGCCCGCTACTGCACCTGTTCAAGCAGGCCAAGGTCGTGTGCCTTGTGACGTGCAACGGTGTCATGGTCAGGCACCTTGACGGGGCCGATGCAACGTTGCCAGGTGTCTGGATCGATAACTTGACTTGGCACTCGGATCGCGTGACAAGGTTGCTTGAACACGTGCTGCCTGACAGGGACAACGAGACACAGGCCCACGAGTTCATGTGCACGACCGGCCGTCTGATACCGTTCATCACAAGGGACGAGCCTCCAAGACCACTGCTCGCGTGTTCTATGGCCAGTCAAGCCCTGTGCAGGCCATACGTGAAGCTGTCGTCGACTGTGTCCCCAGTGAATACGTACGTGCCCATTGTCAGGACGCAGCTGTTGCATGATCTGATCAGTGAGCTAGACCCATCAACCGGACTGAGTTTCCCAGGCATCAGTCTCATGGCACTGTTCCATAACGAGCCCTGCAACTACGAGGACGGTGTCATCGTATCTGACCAGATCAATGCACAGGGGCTCATGGCACATGAAGGCGTGATCTTCCATCCGATGCCTCATGACGCTGGTGACCTGGTCGGGACATCGATCGGGCCAGACACGGAATGGTGGCGACCTGCAGACTCAGGCCACGTCTATGCCCAGTCCTACAGCAGCCAGCGAATGCGGTACGTGGCTGTGAGGATGCAGTGCAACGACCTGCGCATAGGTGACAAGCTGGCCACGTGGCACGGTCAGAAGTTCACGATATGCGAGATCAGGCCCCATGAGCAGATGCCGCTGTGCACGTGCCAGAGGACGGGTTCGGTGTTCAGACCACAGATCATCATCGCCTCCAGTTCAGTGCACGACAGGCTGACACTTGGCCAGGTGTTCGAGGCAGGGCTTGCGGCGACTGTCTGTGATCCAGCCGACTGGGACTCAAGGACACAGTACGAGCCCATTGTGCTGCAACAGGACTGGCCCAGCACCTTGGACCGCAGCACGTTGACGCGCACGTGTACGATTCAGTATCCTGGTGCAGTGGGCAGACAACAGGGCCCAGTCCATCAGAACGGTGCATGGACCGCTGGTGCCGTAACAGCTAACTACGGCCCGTGCTGGATCTGGCAACTGGTACACTTGGTCCGTGACAAGCAGCAGTACTGTAGCAAGGTGCCCACGTCCCTGATGCTGCCACGTGGTCGACTGCGTGGTGCACCGGTCCGATTGGGCGAGATGGAACAACAGGCGCTTGTCATGGCCGGCTGTCCCAGGTTCGCAGAAGAGCTGGTGCAGAGTGCTGACCTGTGTACTGCCTACGTCTGCGGCAATTGCAGGAGGCTCGTGGAACTCTGTGACTGTTCCACTGACACCGTTCCAGTCCGCATGTGCATCAGGAAGACGGTCGCAGTTTTCGACATCTGCCAGGCAGTCGCTGACTTGAACCTGTCACGTGCAGGCGTCAGGCAATCTGTGCCCTCGTCAATTGCCTACGATCCTTGAGTCCGATTCTATGAAAACCAGGTGCTGCATCACAGTCCTCACAGGCAAGGGCCACGTCACAGTTACCTCAGGCATGATCTCGTCACAGGTACGCAGCCTGAGTCCTTTGAACTGTGCACGTACAACTGCTGGCTCATGGAAGGTGTCAGGGCCAATTGTCGCAGTCGCAGTGTCATCGTCATCGCGTCTCATGACAACATCGCCCTGTCTGATGACGTAGCCATGGTCATTCGCAGCATCGTACACGTAACAGCATCCGAGCACTGGTACGCCTGCACGGGACAGCTGCCTCAGTTCTCTAACAACGTGCTGTGCACTGAATGCTGCGACCACTGGTACCGAGTTCAGTTCCAGCCATCTCATGAACTCGTCCAATGCCAGGAGGTCACGCAGGGTACACTTGCAATAGAACAGGCGCCGGCCCCTGCCTGTGAGCTCGGAGACCATGGCCCGGACCGAGTCATCGTTCAATGGCACACTGACAGCACCCAGCTTCCTGGCCCTGTCCTCGTCCAGGTCGGGGTCAATGAACAGCCACCTTGTGTTCTGTGCACGGAACGCTGACGCTGCCTGGAACCTGCCAGTGCCCACGTCCACGATTGCCTTGAGCCTGCGTCTGGCATCGTACGACCTCGAGTAGACGTAGTCGCGGACATTGAACGAGGCAGCAGTCAGTCGCCTCCTGAACGTTAGGTCCTCGCCTGGTGACGACTGCATCACAGCCAACGCATCCTGGACCACGTCAATGGCATTGGGTAAGGCCTTGTCACTACGGATCCTGAGAGGTTTCAGGCGGACGACGTTGTCCTTGTCAAGTGCCAGGGCGTACTCTGCGACCTTGTCAATGACCTGGTCAACTGGCACGTGATCGAGACTGCCGACTTTGACCAGGTCATCGGTACCTGTTCCTCTGGCCATGAGACCGTCACGTGTCACTAGCAGGTCGATCTCAGGCTGCTTGATCCTGTACGTGAGGCTCGTGTCACAGTCAATTGCAATGACACCGTCGCATGGCAGGGGCTCAGCATCCAGAAGCCTGTTGATCCGACCCAGGCTGAGTTCATGACGTCGGTACAGGCACGGGGGACAGTCCAGGATATCGACCAACGGCCACGGCTTGGCATACGGCCTTGTCACAGGCACTGGTTCCTGGCCAATTGCAAGGTGACCAATTGCAATGAGCTGACCGTCAGGCATCCACTCGCACCTGACAATGTCCGGCTTCGATGTGCGTACGTTGACCTGTGACTTGAGGTAGTGACCAATGACAGTGAGTGATGGATCAGTCCTGCAGAGGACCCAGAGGCAGCCATTGTCAATGAGCCAGGCCGATTCGCCATTGGGCTTGGGCAAATACACGTGTCCTGGACCAGGCGACTCTGCAGCGTAGACCACTGGTACATCAGCAACACGGACCGAGCGCATGAACAAGGCGTCCAGGGCCCATTGCATTCGATCACCGCACCCGGCCTGTTCGGCCACGTACTCGACGGCGCGTAGCCAGTCCAAGTCACCTGGGGGCACGTCACCGGTCCATTCCAGCTCAGCCAGCCTGTCATTCGATGGCCGTATCAAGGACGTGCGCACGTGCCAATTCGTGTCCTCGACCTGCCATTCGTGTGACTGGATCACGTGCTTGTACTGCCAGACTGGATCCGACTGCAGGCCCAGTACCTCAGACCACTCCTTGGACACCGCCGCCGTCATGCACCAGGCCAAGTCCAATGTGACCAGCGTCGACTTGGCCTCAAGTCTAGTTCCATCCCTGAGCCTGACACGTGCTCCTGTGCTGTGGTCTGTATCGCTGACTGTGCACGTGAACCCTGACTCGTGCCAGGTCCTCGGTCCAATGCCCATGAGCTCAGCTACTTTGACCATGCCATCTGCCACAGCTCCAGTCAGCCTGAGTTCGTACTCGACCACTGGGACTGAGACCGTGATCCTGCTGCACCGTTCAAGTGCCTGATCCTTGGACACCAGTCTGATGCAACCGGCTTGCTCCTGGACCCGTTCGATAGCACGGAGCAGTTGTTGACTGGGCACTTGGTCCACGTTGCATTGACATCGGACTAGCTCTGGTGCCTCGTCAGGACCTAGCCGCACTGTTTCCCAGACTCCGGCCTTGGACTTGCCACAGTACTTGCACCTGTCCCCTGATGCCATCTTGGACTCTAGTGGGCGGAACAACGCGTTGACTGAGCACTTTGGTCATGGATCCAGCTCGCAATGCCTACGTACGAGTGTTCAAGCAGGGCGGTCGCAGGGACGTGGCACCGCTGCCTACGTCATTCGCCTACAGGCCCTTGGACCGTGACAGGTTACGGTTGCTGCCACCTGGTCAGTACGGGACAATTGGCAGGTCGTGTCCTATCCATGACGCCTGCTCGGGTCATCTGTCACTGCTGTCAACGGGCCACGTCTTGGTCCCTGCCCATTGCATGGTGGATGAGCCTGATGCCACTGACAGGCGTGGTACGTTGACCGAGTCCGCGATACAGGGCCGCTGTGACATTGCAGGTTACGGCACCGGCATCAGGGAGACGCTCATGGGCAAGAGGGGTCTGCTCAGGTACAAGGTCGCAGGCTGTCGTCCGATTGCATCTGCAATGGGCGTGGCAACGGTCACATGGCAGGCGAGTCCTGAGGTCCTGTTCATGCCCCGTGCCTGGATGTCCAAGATTCGTTACCTGGCACCTGAGCAGGACAAGGACTCTGACGATGACGGTGACAACGACGGTTGCCTGAGCTCAAGGTTGGCTGAGACTGGTCCTGAGACGGGGTCATGGGCCATCGTCCTGAGGTGCCCTGCACTGGGCGAGGACTCAGCACAAGCGGTCAGGCTCGTGCCCTGGGACAACTGGTCCATCGGCGTGCATCCTGAGCTCTGTGCCCCTCTGCACCTGGACTTTGACGGTGACGAGGTGCACGTTTTCATGACCAGTGACACAGCGTCCATGGCCGAGATACGTGCCAGGGCCTCCAGAGCCAGGTACAGCAAGTTCACCGAGCCAGTTGTGCGTGCAGCCATGGACTGGTGCGATGACATTGCACCTGAGGACGTTGTCCATGGCACGTTCATCAGGAGCTCGACCATGACGCTGGAGTCACTGTTGAACGATCCGGTCCCTCATCCTGTGCACAGGCTGGGCCGTTGCAAGGTCGAACTCTGGCCAGTGCTCAAGGACCGTTACCTGGCAGAGGACAAGCCCATCAGGTTCGTGGAACAGTGTTCATTGGCCATGTCAAATGTCATTGCCAGTCAGCTGAGTGTGTCCGATGGCTACATGGTCACGAGGCAGTCCAAGTACCTCGGCTCGCAGCTGGTGTCGACGAGGACCGGTCTTCACATGCCCTGCTGGTACGGTCCAGGATCAGAGGCAATCGAGGCAATTGACAGCGACGTTGTTCCAACGGGCACGCACCATGGATCACCTGCAATGAGAGTCCTTGCCAGGCTGTCGGCCAAGGCAATGCAGGGTTCATTGGACAAGGCCAAGCACCGCAGCACACAGGCAATGTCCGTGAGCCCTGCCTCATCACTGATCACGGGTCAAGACAGGGCCTTGTGCATTGTCAATGACCCCGTCGCTGGTCATCTGATGCGGGTCCTGAGATCTGATGCAGCAGGCGATGTACTGGCCCGGGTCATTGCCACGAGCTCAGTCAAGATCGTGTCCGAGGCAATAGCACGTGGCATGACATTGAACAAGACCTGGTCCCTATGCCTCAGTTCAGCAGTCATGATCCTGCACGAGGAGCAGATCCAAGGTGACGAGCACGAGACCGTGGCCCTTGCAGCGGTGATCATGGCCCTGGCACGGTCAGGTGTCGACAGTCCTATGGCCCTGCCTGGGCGTTCCAGGGTCCTGTCCGAGCTCGGTTGCAATTGGCTAGTGTGCTGCCTGAACGAGGACCTGTCAGCCATCAGGCGATTGCGCACTGCGGGGGCTGAGACGTTTGCCGATGCGCATCCGATTGCTGATCCTGCAACTGCATTCGTGTTCGGCAACTTCTCAGCCTGTGCCTGTGATCTGGGTCCTGCTCCATTTTGAACTGCGACAGGATCATTGGACGTGGACCAAGCCATCTGAAAACCGTGCCAATGACTGTGGATCGGCCATCAGATCACGTACCAGGTTCAGCAGCGTCCTGTAACAGTCGGCGACTGACTTCGGATGACCCTGGTACTGCAGTCGACCCCCGGACCTGAGCTTGAGCAAGGAGTCCACGTACGATGAGCCACCGCGTGTGATCGAGGGCACGCATGCTCTGATGAACAGGCCGCTGTACTCCTGTGACACGGGCAGTTGACTACGCCTGGCAACCCTTGCAAGCTCGGCTATCGACTCGGGTCCAGGTGTACAGTGCACGATCTCAGCCATCGGCAAGGCCATCGTGAACGTGAGCGTGGACCCTGCCAGGTTGCAAAACGTCATCGTGCCAGTGCCCGTGAGCAACCAGTCAGTGGACGCAATCGACGTGCAGATCGAAGCGTATCTGCCCATGACCTGGCATCTGTCCCTGTGCCTGTTCAGCTTACAGTCACCAGCACCAGTCGACGGCGGCTCAAGTATCTGCAACCGTGCCTTGCATTCCACAGCTCGTCTGGCAAGGTCCTCGGACAACGTTATCGATGACGTGGCCAGGTACGGTTGCAGGAACCACGGAACTATGACACAGCCCGTGTCCAGACGCCATGTGCCCAGTTCAAGGATTCTCCTGTACGAGCCTACGACATCAGCATCAGAGCATGCAACACCTAATGCCAGCTGTCCCTGCACGTAGGCGAGGCCCTCGTCACAGTCCTTGTACGTGCCCCAGTTGCACATCCTGATCCACGGTGCCATTGTCACAGCCAACGGATCGGACTCGTCTTCCAGTGCTCGTTCCCTTGCCATGGAGTCAACGATCATGGCCTGTTGCTGTAGCTCAGGCCGGCGCGATTCTGGCACCTGTCCACTGCGTCCCTGACCATGCCTCTGTACTCGCTGCCTAGTACAAGAATCCCTAGACGCCATCTCAGCACCTGGCAACAGCACCGGTGGTCGTAGCAAGTAGAGTTCGTCAACGTGTTGCGTTCCAACTTCGACTTGCACTTGTTACTGTTACCATGGCTCTCGTTCAATTGCTACTGCTGCCTATCACCATGACACTGTCGACTGTCAGCATCATGCTCAAGTACACAGGACATGCCGTTGACACAGGTGGCAGGATCCTGTATCACGTGACACGGGGCTCGGCTGAGCTCCTGACAATTGCTAGTGCCATGGTCAATGACATAGGCACAGCACTGAGCACAGTCAGCAGGCAGAGGTCACTGCAACCTGCACGATTGGAACTGCCACCAGGACGTGTGCAACTGACACCTGCAACAGACCAGGTCCCATTGGAACAGAGCCAGGCCATGGTCGACAGCCCACGTGCCACGGTTCAGCAGCCACAGGTTAGGTACGTGGACCGTGCAATGCCAGAGGACATGGCCAAGTCATCGACCGAGGCTATGTCCAGACTACGTGCCATAGTCACGGCTGCGATGACTGGCAGTGTCTACGTGCCTGGTGATCTGATGCTGAGTGCTTGTGCGCTGATCGGCAATTACCTGGCACTGTCCGAGAGGGATCTGCTGCTGTTGTCCATGCACGAGAGGCTGTATCAGCTCGTGACCTGCGATCACTGGAACCTGTGCAGTGTCAGTCACTCGGCATACGATCCACGGACCAGTCCTCTGTCGCCCGTGTTCACAGGTGGCTTGAACCTGTCAGCTGGCAAGTCCCAAGTACCTGGCGAACTGGCACAGTCAACGACGTGTCCTGCACTGGTCCCGATCCTGCTCAATTGTACGGTGGCATGTGTCAATGCACTGATTGCCAAGTCACCTGTGCAGTTGGTCCTGTCAATGCCTGTCAGCAGGGTCGCATCACTGGTCCTGCGTGCCTTAGTCCTGTGCATGACTCGGCTGGGACTTGTCCTGCAACTGACGGTGGACACGGAGTCATGGCCTGAGTTCCCTGGCATCGAGGACCTGTCCAGCATCTGCACCCTGACTCGGACCAATGCTGAGACGTGCATTGAACTGTTGCAGGCCCATGGTGCGTCCCTGACTGCCTGCTGCATGTTCTGGCGCAAGTTGACTGCACCCGATGACCAGGCCACGTACCTTGAGCAGAGGACACAGCTCACGTCCCTGGCCACGATGATGCATATGACCGGGCCCATTCTGCACGTACTGGGGATGCCATACGAGGACGATCACGCTGTCGTCACCGGTGCCTGGCCCATGTGCGTTGCCATGCTGCCGCTGCTCGAGTCGGATTCGCATCCTGGTGCCTGGTACACGTCATCGTACCTGCTGCCACGGGACACCGGTCCTCAGCCCTCGATCGTATTCCAGCCGTCGAGGCCTGGATCGTACAACAGACCACGTCACCAGGCCGTTGTCAATGGCTACGTCAGGGCCCTCAGACACCAGCGCTCGGGTCCCCGTTGCAAGTGCTGTTTGGCCGATGCACTCGTCCTGTTCTCGATCCTGAATCCAGCACTGGCCAACAGCACCCCTGCCAAGGTGGCACAGGCCGTGACAACGTACCTATGCCAGGACAAAGCACTGGGCCCGGATCCAGTTCCTGCAGGTGTCCTCGAGCTGTGATCATGTGCAATGTCAACTGGACTGGATCAAAATCGCACCCTGTCATGGTCATCAGACAACTGCCAACCGTCAGCAGTCAATGCCAGTGCCGATGTCGATATCAATGCCGAGGTCACTGTCAATGGCCAAGTCAATGGCTGGGTCTATGGCCACGTCATTGTCAAAGCCTGTGTCATTGTCACTGTCAGGTGTTGCAGAAGATTCGTGAAATGGGACCTTCAGCCATCTTTACTGAAAGCTTCAGTCACTTGGAACCGAAGCTGCTCACCATGTTCGCGGAACGGATCAAGACCATTACGGTTGAGGAAACCTTCTCCTACATCAATGAGCAAGAAGCAGCACAGCGGGAGACAGAACGGAAAACCTCTGCTAAAACGGCAGCCGAGAATATGGAGGTGGAACCTACAGTGTCTGAGATTGTCAACAAGTCAAACTCTGACCTTGCCAAGCGACTTGAAGTAGTGGAGAAACAGCTATTCAAGGAGCCGGAAGTACAGAAACAGGCACCTCCAAAGGCTCCACAGCAGGCACAGCCTACTGAACAGCAAACTCGACAGCAGCAGGCGCCTCGACAGCAGCAAACACAACCCCAACCCACTAACCAATACCCGACCAAACCTTCACCCGGCGCATGGACTAACTAGTGGCAACCTTCTCCCGGCTATGGGTCCCAGGGACCCCAGGCTCCAGATTCTGGATTTCCAAAAAACGGGGGAGGGAGGGGGAGGGGAGGGAGGGGCAGGGGCTGGGGGAGAGGCTGGGGAAGAGGCGGAGGAAGAGGAGACGGATACGGAGGAGGGGGAATGTTTCAGGGCAGAGGCGATTCCATGGGCAGGAGCTAAGTGAGTTAAGTGAACGGGATCTCCAACTCCTTTACTTTGGGCAAATGACGGAATCTCAGCTCAAAAGAAGGGTTAGGAATCGGAGCATCTTCAACATGAGTAGCCGAAAACTGACAGCGGTCGAAGAAAAAGCATTAGCGCTGGGGCTAAACTTCATCCCGACACTGACTGCATCTCAATTCACATCTGATGAAGAGGTTCTTTCTGCCTATGATTCTTTCTGCCGCAACTTAAGATTGAGAGAGTTCTTTGGAGATTCAGAGATTCCCAAGAGTTTTAGGATTCCTAACCCGTCTTGGGATGTTCCTTTAGACAAAAGGAACATGTTTCTTGAGAATGTGATGCAGCAACATAGGGAGGAGCTTCAACAAAGTTTGTTGAAGGTTCCTCCTAGGGCTGGCTCAAACATTTCTCACATGGTGAGGCGTGCTTTGAGATCCCTTGCTTCCGATGAGTCGATTGTTGTGAAACCTGCCGATAAGAATTTAGGTATCACGGTTATGGATAGAGGCTTTTATCAGCAGCAGGCACTTGCTCACCTTTCTGATGCGGAGGTGTATAGGCAGGTGGACACCGTTCCCTTGTCTGTAATTCTGGAATCTCTCTCCCGCATTCGGTTTGAGTTTCTCCCATGCCTTCCAAGAAAGACATGGGACTTCTTGGAGAATTCTCCAACCCGTGGATGGCAACCTGCCTTCTTTTACATTCTTTTGAAGATGCACAAGAAAGAGCCTTTTGGAAGACCGATTGCAGCCTCCCATTCATGGATTACTGCCAATGCTTCGAGATGGCTGGATTGTCAACTCCGTCCCTTGGTGTTAAAGCAGAAGACTTACCTTTGGGATAGCCAGAGCCTCCTCCTTCAGCTCGAGCAGCAGCAGGTTCCTTCCTCTGTGGTTCTTTCTACGTATGATGTGAGCAGTTTGTATCCATCCATCCCAATCTTTGAGGGAATTGAAACGGTGGACATGATCCTCAATAGAGATAGACATCCTCTGAGGCCATTGATCATTTCTCTTCTTAGGTGGGTGATGTGCAATTCTTATGTACAATTTGATGATATTGTGTATAAACAGGTTAGAGGTACGGCAATGGGAACCCCGGTCGCTCCTGTCTTCGCTATCCTTTATATGAGCTGGCTGGATGAGGAGTTGACGCGGAAGGTGACCATAGAGCCGCTTTGCCATGTTAGATACATAGACAATGGGTTCATTCTTTGGGAGGGGAGTGTAGAGACTCTCCAGGGATTCTTAGGAGCTTTCAACTCCCTTCGGCCCACGATCAAGCTGACGTGGGAAATCAGCGAGGAAAGGATTGACTTCCTCGACCTTCAGCTCTACAAAGGGGTTCGCTTCCACAACTCCGGAATTCTGGATGTGGCCAGCTTTCAGAAACCGATGAATCGGTATCTGTACATCCCCTTTTCCTCTTTTCACTCAAAGGAGTGTAAGAGAGGATTCATCACGAGTGAGCTGAAACGTCACTGCCTACGGAACGCATCGATCAAGACCGTTTGGGAGAGGAAAGTCCTCTTCTCTGAGAGGTTGAAGGCCATTTGATACCCCGACTATTTCCTCAGGCCTATCTTCAACAGTGTGACACATCAAGACAGGCCGGCTCTACTTCGCAGCTGCCAACAACACAAAGTGAGGGAAGTCCCCCAGTCCCTTAAGGTAAGAAGGTGTCCAAGGACTTTGGACTTGGGGTTGGGGGGTTTTTTGAGAATTCTCAAAAACACGTGCTGCAACATATTTCCCTCCCCCATATGCTAGTGTGTTGGCGTTTGCCAAAAAGGGTACGCAACCTCTTGGTGAAAGCGAGGTTTCAGAAACGGGGATACACCAACCCCGTGAGTTGATGGGATTGAATTGGTCCCACCAACCTGCATGCTTGATTGACATTGTAAATTTTGTACAGCCAGCTAGCGAGCCGCGATGACGAGCCGCACTGGACTTCTTGGTTCTTGGTTGAGTGCTGGGCACGGTAGATGGGAGTAGATATGGAGCAGTTTCTTTCATGTAACTCTGAGAGCGCTGATGAAGGCCACCGGCCGAAACGCGCGTACGCTCAGGTTTGAATGAAAATTTTCTTACCTATTCAGTCCCTACTAGCCTAAGCCCAGCCTAGAGGAGATTAGGAGGAGATCAGGACGAGTTACCTGTTGGATCCAGGTCGAAACTGCTTTGCTATGCTACTAAAGTTGCATCACTAAAGTTGCATCACTAAAGTTGCAGCACTAAAGTTGCAGCACTAAAGTTGCAGCACTAAAGTTGCATCACTAAAGTTGCATCACTAAAGTTGCATCACTAAAGTTGCATCACTAAAGTTGCATCACTAAAGTTGCATCACTAAAGTTGCATCACTAAAGTTGCATCACTAAAGTTGCATCACTAAAGTTGCATCACTAAAGTTGCATCACTAAAGTTGCATCACTAAAGTT